TAAAATCTTTCAAAGTTTTTTTTCTCTATAATACCGTTGTCATAGTATACATAAATTGTTCTCTTTTCTCTAACTCAAGGAAAGTGTTTTGGAAAGTAAAACATACTGTACACAGGTAAGGCCCTGTTATTAGCATGTAATCAGCAGAGTGAGGAAACACTAATTTCCATGGGAAATGGCCAAAACTGTAAAGTAATTTGCCCAACATTACACAGTTAGTTGTGGCTGAGTCAGGACTAGATAACTCAAATCTCCTGGCCCCAGTCCTGTATAAATGAGTTTAATTAATTTTAAAAGAAGAAATGGCAGAGGTTTTAGAATGAGGACAGATTAATGGAGTTCTGTGTCTTCTCTGATAAAATAAAATTTTAAAAAATGAACCCAAGTAATGAGGAAAAGGTTCTATGAGTCTCAAAGTATTAAAAGTCAAAATGCTGGGCTAAACTGTTGTGAAACCAGAGGTACTTAAAATTCTAAAAGCCTTCAATCCCTGGCCTGATGACCAGGGTATCTAATTTATATAATTTCAACATAAAAAAAAATTTTACATCTACAAAAAGACAAAAACTACACTTAAAACCCCCCATAAAATGCAAAAAGAAAAAGCTGCCTTCCTTCAGCAGCTACCTCCTCAATTCAAGGGTAATAATGGTTTGGCAGGATTTCCCGAGGGGGAAACCAGCACAGTCCAAACCAGTCTGGTGTTCCACTTCCCGAGCGTACATTAAAAGCAGTTTCCCCACTGAATAGATTACCGAGATGGAATGAATAACTCAAAACCCTCATGAATAATAGAAGCTACTAAACAAATGTTACATGTTGCATAAAGAGACAGAATTCCCAGAACTTCAGCAGTTAGTGAAAATTTCAAATTGAGCTCCAGCAGCTGCTCCAAGTTCAAAGTAACCAAGGAGGGTTTTATTACTGCCCCAATTGTTCTTCTTTGACTCTCACACCTTCTCTTCCCTGGCTTGTAGAAATGAACCCATTTCCACACCTATTGCCACCCAGGGAAGGAAGGACCAGTGGGCTCCTGCCAGTTGGGTGTTTTCTGCAGCTCAAGGTGAGCACAGCTGAGGACTCTCACTGCAGGGAGTTCTTCATCTCTGAATCTTTTCCATCCAAAACAATGTAAGGAAGCTCCTTGGGGTGTCTGAGGAGCAAAGCTTCTCAAATTCCTTTTCAATTGTAAGTTACGTAAAGTCAGAGACTATCTAATTTTAACTATCTCCAACTGCTCTCCGCATAATTCTTTGGATGCACTAAGTGCTTAATAAATGTGTGTCTGATTGCATCATTAGCCTAAAATATATACAGCAGTACTCCAAAATGCAGGTTTAAATAGTTCCCCCCCCCTTTTTTTTTTTACAATTGCTATCTTTGTTCTCTATGTCGTTCCTTCTAAAACCCAGCTCTTCCAACCCAACCCAAATAAATAAAGCCAGCAAGGGGCAAAAACAAAAATAGGACAGAGAGAAGTAATGCTTTAATACTCCACTTTACTCACCATAGGAAGATAACTTTTTGGAAAGTAGAGCACTAGGCTAAATAAATGAGAATGTACTACAGTAGAAGTGCATATATAACTTGATCTGAATAAATTTCAAAGAAGAAAAATTGAAAATGCTATTCATAGGAGCCAGAAAAGACCCTGGAGATCACTAATCCAAACTTCCTTGTTTTATGGAGGAAGAAACTGAGACAGGGCAAGGCAACAAACATTCACTAAGTGCTAACTTTGTGCTAGGCACTATGCTAAGGCCGGAGGGGTTAAGTGATTTCCCCAGGGTTGAAAAGTAAGTAGTAGGGCTGAACCTTGACCCTGGGTCTCTGCAAATCAAATACTCTTTCCACTACACTACACTAGGCCCAGCTCAAGTGCTCAGTAGGCCCCTCAGTGGTAGAGCCAAATATAAACCTCTTCAAATGTATAATAAGCTACAATACCAGTCCTGCCTAGATTCTTATCAGGAGGGCATAACTGTACCATTAACTTACGCTGTTCATTTCAGCATCATTCCTATTCTTTACTATGCCTTTATCATACCAGTTTCTTGTAAGATGGCTTTTTAAAAACCTGCTCTCTCATGCCATCATTATCTTCTTTGTAGGAGTTATTACCAGCAGGTAGGTTGGCACCATCACCATTTTCCACATGAAGTAGGGACACAGAGAGGAAATTTTCAGATGTCTATAAAAATTTAAGTGCTGGCTCTATCCTCTCCTACACTCACCACCTATGGAGGGTTTCTCTCCTAAGTGGACTTTTTGATGAAATGTTCAGGGCTCTTATCTGAAGAAAACCTTTGCCACACTAATCACATTTGCAAGAGGTCTCTCCTGTATGGGGTATAATAGTCTTGTGCTTAGAAGAAACTTGACTGGTATCTGAATTTAATTCCACATTGAATTCCATAAGATTTCCCAGATCAAAGTCAGTCAGAAAACCTGCAAAAGGGCAGTACTTGTGGTTGACTCCATATGACATGTCACTCAAACTCTTTAGCCCTACCTTCAGGATGCCATGAATGGGTAGGAAAATTTCCTACAGTCCCAGGCCCCTGTAATATCAGTCAACCCCTATTACATCATCAGTTCCACCCCACTTGTGACATCAAATGAGGATTTTGTCACACTTTCCCCACCCTTTTTGATGTCAGGTGGGATTTTTTTCCCCTATATTCACACCTAGTTACAACAGGAGACTTTTCCCCGATCTCTGAAGCAGCTGCCCGGCTACCCCAAAAAGTCCTAAGAACCCTTGCTTTGAAAGTGCTACTTCCATTCCCCAAATGTGACAGAGTTAATGGTGATTCCCTGGAATGTAACTTCTCTATATATCTGGACTTAACAAAGTTGGTCTTGTTTCCTTAGAATTTACCAATCTATTTGACTGAATTGTACAAAAGTTGGTGATGTTTCCCTAGGATTTACAATTTTTTCTCCCTCTGGACTGTACAGACATTGACTTTATTTCTGTGAGATTCATGACTTCTTTGCTCAGGACTATTTTTATCAAAAATTGCCTGGCTATCCTGGAATGAATAAGGAAAATGATGAGTTTCAGGCAGTGTAAAGGGTTATCCTGGATCAGGCCTGCACTTATCAGCCATCTAATTCTGGTGAAGGTGTAATAGAGGGCATAGAAATTGTAGTGCCGAGGGGGAAGGAATACTGTGCATAGAGAGATTAGTAATATCTTAGGATGGAATAAGGCGTGAGGATGGGGGCGTGGAGGGGAAGAGGAGAAATCAGGGATACAAACAAACAGTTGGTGGGAAAATGAGGCTATACATGCTCTGAAGAAGAAAAAAGGGCAAGTCAAGATTGGAGTGAACCAGGGGAGAGGAGACTAAGCAAAAGTGGGTAGGAAGTGATTTGACATGGAAAATGGTGGTAGAGTATGAAGAGAGTCTTTAAAAAGAGAAGATAGGTACATTCATTTACTTTTCAAGTATTTAGATGTCAACCTAAGCTAACAATAAGCTCACACTTTCAAATGGGCTGGGAATGGTGTAGTTAAATTAGGCCCCATCATGGTAAAAAGAGGAAGGGATCCAAGTCCAAGGGATGAACAACGAAAAGCAAAGCCTCAGAGCCAAAAAAAAAAAAAGGAGGGGGGCTATGTGGTAACACAAAGACTTAGTAAATGAAGTTCTGTATCTTTCCAGTGGGCTATTGATGAATATAACCCTAGGAGTTCTTTTGGAATCACTTAATCAAGGGGTCTATCTCCTCTTGATCCCAACTGTTAATGCTCTCTCTCCCTCTCAAACTACATTACATTTAAATATTTTGTATTGATGCTGTGTACATATTTGCTAGATACCTTTGATCTCCCCCATTGAAATGGAAGCTCCTAGCACGGAGATATTTGTCTCATTCTTTAGACTTGCATCTCTAGTGCCTGGCACATAGCAGGCATCTAATAAATGTTTTTTGATTGATTGATTGGATGAAGCCAAGATTCTGGACATGCTCAGGATATTGAAGCTTTTCTCAGTCTATATACAGTTAATTAGTAGAAAAAACAATCATATTTTCCCAAATCGACCACAAGAAAGAATGTCACAACACATTTTAAGATCTACACATCCTTTACCATCTTGGAAGGAAGCTATAGAGATGGCACTGTGTGTTTCAAGTTTAGTTCTGAAATTTTGTCGTGCTTGTCATACCATCTCAGATGCATAAATAAAAACCCAAGCTTCAGGACATGAAAGGTATTGGAGGATCTACACTTTAGAAGACTTATTCCAAGACCATGAGATGAGAACTTACTCTAACTGCAATGTAATTTCAAGAGGGTTCCTCAGCCTCCTCTTCCCCTTCACTCCCCACCCTGGAATGAGTCAACAGGGCTGGAGCTGAGCAGACAGAGAGTCTATGACTCTCCAGCATTCCAACCCAAGGAACTCAAACACCAAGTCTTTCCTGACTGTTCCTTATGCATAGAGTTAATTCCTGTCATCTCTCCCTGCTTCCTATACTCTCGGCATTCCAGTGTTTTTAGACAAGTCATGGGGACAGACAACTCCCTCCCCACCCACCCACATTGACATCATGTTCAGTCATCACCAGACTTTAAAGGATGGGAGCCCAGATCAACTCATCCTTTCCCCAGCCTACACCTAACAACCTTCTAGCTCCTGATCCCCTCTTCTCAGTAATTCAGAGTCACCATTTGATGAGGAATAGTTGATAAAGACATTTTAAAAGACCATATGCTAATGAGAGGGGTAATGACAATGATACTATGCTTATTTGGGACCATGCCTGTAAGCACTTAATAAATGCTTGTTGACTGACAGTACCCAGTCAGCTCAACCAGCACCACAGTGCTATGTCTATGAGACCACCCATACCATACCTTACCTCACTTGGTGAGATCAGATAAAAAATGGGAAGTCCCTACAATCACTCTTTCAGTTACCAAGTCCCTGTCTACAAAATTGACTGAGCAATTCAGGAGGGGTACGTGGTTAGGTTGAAAAGCTTGCCTGAATGAAGTCCAGTTCTTCCTATCCGGATAGAAAGCTCATTCTCATGGAAAGGCAGGGGGAATTCAGCGTTGGCTTTCTCCTTCGTTGATTTGTAATCAAAGCTCAGCATTAGGGACATTTGGGAGTCCTCAGCCATACCCTGAAACAAGAAGCACCAAAGTCAATGTGATATCAATCGGTGAATAATCAACAGCATTTATTAAGTGTCTGCTATGTAAGTAACTCATCATGCTACTACACATTTGGAATAAAAAGACAGAAGTAGAACACAGTCCCTTCCCTCAATGAGCAAACAAGCAACAACTATTTATTAAACATCAAACTATGTATGAGGCACCTGGCTAGACACCGGGGATATATTCCATGTCTGGAATGCTCTCCTTCCTCATTTCTACCCCTAATTTCTCGGGCTTCCTTCAATTCCCATCTAAAATTCCATCTTCTATAGGAAGCTTTTCCCAACCCCTCTTAATGCTCATGCCTTGCCTTTGCTGATTATTCCCAACTTATCCAGCAGATAGCTTGTTTATAAATGGTTGTTTGCATGTTGTCTTCTTCATGAGACTGGAAGCTCCTTGAGGGCAGGGACTGCCTTTTGCCTTCCTTTGTATCCCCTGCCTGGCACATACTAGGCACTTTATAAGTGCTTACTGACTGACTGAACACAAATATAATGTAGGTGATAAAAGTACTTACATATATAGGATATACATAATATATAAAGAAATTAAAAACAAAGTAGCTAAATACAAGGTACTTAGGGAAAGAAAACACTAGCAATTAGAAGGATAAGAAAAAGCTTCCTAAAAAAGACGGTGCTTGAGCTGAGTCTTAAAGGAAGAGAAAGAGTCTATGAGGCATCAGTAAGGAGGAAGTGCATTCCAGGCATATGGGAGAGCCACTGCAAAGGCATGGAGGTGGGAGGCAGACAGCATCACTTATGAGGAACAAAGAGAAGAAGGTCAGTGTGACCAGTCTGTACACCACAGCAGAGGAATACTGTCCTATAAGGCTGGAAAGATGGGTTGGTGTCAGGTTGTGAAGGGTTTGAAAAGCCATATAGATGAGTTTATAATTTATCCTACAGGCAATAGAGAGTCAATGAATTGACTGAGTAGGGGACTCACATAGTCAGATCTGGAAAACAACCTGGAAAAAAAATTTTTTTAAATTAAAACAAATTAAAAGAAATAAAAAGAAAAAGAAAAAAGAAAAAAAGAAAACAATCTGGAACCTGAAAAAGAGGTATTGGTGAGGACCAGCAGCAGACCAAAGCTCACAGGTAACGCTCTTGGTTTCTGGCCAAGCATCAGAATGATATTTAGGAGACACCAACCTGTACAAGATACTGGTGCTAGATACTACAAGGAAGCTAGGTGGCACCACAGTGCACAGAGACCTGGGCCTGCAGTCATGAACACCTGAGTTGAAATACAGCCTCAGAGTAGCTGTAGGACCTTGCACAACTGTAAAATGGAGATCAACTTCCCAGGGCTGTTGTAAGGATCAAATGGGATAATATTTGTAAAGTGTTTGGCACAGTGCCTGGAATACAATGGGTGCTTAATAAATGTTTGTTCTCTTCCCCAGTAAGATGTCTCCAATACTCAGGGACTAGTTACTGACACTCGGCAACACCAGTTCCTGGAAAGCCATTTGCCTCTCTTCCTTCTTTTCCTCTCTTCATTTGGGTGGCAACAGTGGGAAGGTAAATTCCTAACAAACTGGTCTGGATGGACCAATAGCTCTTCTGCTACACTAACAGGTTTGTTTGGGGAGAAAACTGACTCTGTAGAAATGAGCTGTTTGGGTTACCTTTGAATTGCAAGTACATTTTCTTCCAAAGTAACAGAGTTGCCTATAATTCTGTGTGTATGTAAGAGGAATGACAAGCTATTCATGTGTAGTTGATGAAAAGGTGTGTTTCAGGCATGCATTTATGTGGGATTGTGAGGAGGCATAAATGTATAAATCTTCATTTTCAATCACCTTCCCCAGATTTGTTGACAGAAATGGTTCCTTGCTCAGGAGAAGGATCTCTCATTAGAAAATCTTCTCTTTGCTGATTCCCATTATTTCAATGCAGGAAAATTTACCTGGGAACAATAATTATGCCTGTAAAAATACGAAAACTGATTCAGTGACTGAAGTCAGTCTTTAAATGGATTTTAGGTCTTAAAATCTGGATCACTCTTGGTTCTACAACTGACTTGTTACTCCCTATGTCTTCTTTCCTTTTTCCTATGGGCCAGTCTTTAAGAAAAAGACATCCCTTTTCCTTCTGGATATCAACTCTATTTGTGTCTTTGATCTAGTCTCTTATTATCTCCTTGAAGCCATTGCCCCATCAATCATTCCTTCCCTCCCTCTCATCTTCAATCTATTTCTGCCAGTTTCATACACTCTGCCTAAAAAACATGTGAAGTTTCCCTGTATCCATAAGAAGTTTTCATTTGGTCGTGCTGTCCCCTAGCTTCTCTTCCTTCTCTTCCTCCCTTCATTTGAATGGCAACAATGAGAAAAGAAGGTAAATTCTTTTTCTTTATTTTAAATTTATTAATTTATTTTTAGTTTTTGACATTCACTTCCATAAGATATTAAGTTCCAAATTTTCTCCCCATCCCTCCCCCCACCCCAAGAGAGCATGCAATAATATATGTATATATTATTTGTATATGCATATATTAAACCTATTTTCATGTTGTACAGAAGAATTAGAACCAATGGGAGGAACCACGAGAAAGAAGAAACAAAAAAAAAAGAGAGAGAGAGCAAATAATAATGCTTTGATCTGCATTCAAACTCCATAGCTCTTTTTCTGGATGTGAATAGCATTTTCCATCATGAGTCTTCTGGAGTTGTCTTAGATCCTTGCATTGCTAAGAAGAGATGAGTCCATCAAAGTTAGTCATCACACGATGTGGCTTTTACTGTGTACAATGTTCTCCTGGTTCTGCTCACTTCACTCAGCATCAGACCATACAGGTCTTTCCAGGTTTTTCTGAAGTCACCCTGCTCATCATTTCTTATAGCACAATAGTATTCAATTACATTCATACACCACAACTTAGCCATTCCCCAACTGATGGGCATTTCCTCAATTTCTAATTCTTTGCCACCACAAAAAGAGCCACTATAAATATTTTTGTACATGTGGGCCTTTTCCCATTTGTATGATCTCTTTGGGATACAGCTCTACAAGTGCTATTGATGAGTCAAAGGGTATGCACAGTTTTACAGCCCTTTGGGCATAGTAAGGAAGTAAATTCTTAATGAGTCTATTTCAACCATTAGCTCCTTGGTGACATTACTAGCTCTGTTTGGGGAGGGCACTGATTCTCTCTGTGGAAATGAGCTGTTTGAGTAATCACTAAATTTTATATATATGTTTGTATAAATAACAGAGAGTTGCCTATAATTCTATGTGTCTGTAGGAGGAATAGGAAGGAGTTATTCAAGTATGGAAGAACAAGGTATGTTTGGGCCATGCTTTTATTCCTTCTCTGCTGATTCCCATTATTTCAATACAGGAAAATTGAGTAGGAATAATAATCGTGCTTGCAAAAATAGGAAACCTGACACAGTGATTGAAGTCATGTATTTTAAAATGTAACCGAATTAAAGCTGACTTTAAATGGATTATAAGTTTCAAGTCTGGAGAGTGACTTCTGTCTTGGTTCTGTCACTAACTTGTTCCCCTATGTCTTCTCCCTTTTGTCCTTTGCTCTAGTCTTTGAGAAGGAAGAATCTCTTTTCCTTTTTGAGGCAGACCCCCCTATTTGTGCCCTTAATCCAGTCCCCTACTATCACCTCTATGGGACTTTGCCACCAAACATTCCTTCCCTTTTCATCTTCACTCACTTTCTACGGTTTACCTCCCTGATGCCCATAAAACATGGGAAGTCGTCTTCTCCTCCATCCATAAAACAATCTTCATTTAACCCTGCCATTTGCTCTTCTATTGCCCTATAGCTTTCTCTTACTTTTTACTTCCAAGATACTAAAAAGAGTTATCTGCTTTCAATGCTTCTACTGCATCTCCCATTAGTGCCTTACAATTCATCTTTTGATTGTACCACTTCATTGAAACTGTTCTCCAAGGTTACCAATGAGATATTTTTATTGTTGTTCAGTCATTTTCAGTTGTGCCTGACTCTTTGCAACCCCATTTGGGGATTTCTTGGCAAAGATACTAGAGTAGTTTGTCATTTCCTTCTCCAACTTGCCAGTAGTTGGCATAGTGCCTGGCACATAGTAGGAACTTAATAAATGTTTACTGATTGATTTGTAGCCAGTGTATATAGTTTTCCTGGTTCTGCTTAGTGACTTTACATGAGACATGGAAGCGCACGGAAATAACAACAATATTTTAAATACTAAGTTCATATCATCTGTCCTGATTCTATCTGACATCTTTGATATTGCTTACCACTTCTTCCTCCTAGATACTCTCTCCTCTCTTGAACTCCATGATAGTGTTCTTCTCTTTTTCCTTCTCTTTTTTTCTTTTTCATTATCCCATGCTGATACATCATCCATCTGCCACCCCAAGGTTCTGTTTTAGACCATGGTTCTCTCCTCATCCCTTTGAAGATAACTTTCAAATACCAATCATCTCAACGTGCCTATAATGTCCCACAAGTACTTTAAACTCAACATGTCCAAAACTTGAATTCATCATCATTCCACCCAATACTGTTCTTTGTCCCAACATCAACATCATCCATTTTTGTCTCTCCCATCTTCCTAGTTCTCAATAATCAATTAATTACTTTGTTGTTGCTTCTACCACAACATATGTCAAATTTGTCCTTTTTTTCCCATTCATTTGACCAACATCCTAATTCCAAGCCTCATTATGTCTTCCTTGAACATTAACAGTTATCTGATGGCTCTCCCTGCTTGCAGTATTTTCCCCTTTTCTCATCTGTTCTTCACACAGCTGTAAAATAATAAATCCAAGAAATCCACCTCCTGACCTCCCTAGCATCTTTCGAGTAAAATCTCACCTTCTACAAGAAACTTGTCCCGGTCCTGTTAATGTTTGTGCCTTCCCTCTGAAATCACCTCCAATTTACATTGTATATATCTTGCATGTACAAAGTTGTTTGCATGTTGTGTTCCCCATTATTGTGAGCT